CATTTAGTTTTGCTCATTCCTTCCCTTGTATAGACAATCTTATTTATAAATTTTATTTATAAATGTACAGAGGACACAAAGCTGGATGGCTGAAGTGGAGGGAAGAGGAAGGGAATTGCTGAGAATGTTTGAAATTTGAAACAATTTGATTTCAATTTTTTTGTGTACTGTTAATGTGGAGAATTAATCCAATTAGTATTGGATGTTGATGATAATATTCTTCCTATTATAGGAAAGCTTTGCAGGAATGAAAATAATAGATGGAATAATTATTATCTTTAGGTTGTCAGAAAAGGTAAGGGAGAAACTGGTGCCAATAAAAATATGAGAATATATAAGTCTGTAAGATCCAGTAAAAAAATGTCTGCATTAGAAAGCTTATAGGAGGGACAATTATTCTTTTTAGCCATTTTTTCACATGAACAGATATTAACTATATGCTATTTGTGACCTAGATTTAATAGCTTAAAACATTTCAAAGATATTGACTGCCTTGTAGGCGGGACATAATGGCCGCTGCTTCCAGGTTGCAACTGTATGTCCAAAGATGAACCACTCAATTTTGCTGTTGTAATAAGGTCTGCAGGGTGCTGTAGGGAGCTTCTGCATTGCTCTGCAGACTACATTAAGACAGCAAAATTGAGTGATTTGTCCTGTGGCCACTATTTTGGCCCATCCCCACACGTAGTCCTTCCATTCTTCTGCAACATGAAGTCTGGAGATCTTCAAATGGTAAGTGTGGGATGGATGATGGGAGTGTGAGGAGCAAGCTCAAGTGCTCTGGGGTCCTAGTGGGGAGGAGTGGTGGAGATAGGTCAGGGACACTGCAGCACCCCTGCAGTCAGTCATAAGGGCAAATGACCATGGGGGGATTGCAGTGACTATAACTTTGAAACAGGGATGTATGTAGCTTTTCGGGAGGGTGTCTGTCATATGCTTCAAATGGCCATTAAGTGACTGATGGGTATTGTATCTTGATACCAGTACTTTATTTTACCTTTGGGCTTAATTTCATTGGATGATAACAACTCCAAAAATGATAAAGTGAACATCTTTATTTAACTGCAAGTGGAATAGTCTTCTTGGTTCCAATCCAACACATCAACAGGTAGACCACACAGTTTATATTTTTAAAATCCTTGTTTCTACTTCATACATTTCTCAAAGCAATTTGCATTAAAATTAAGAAATTAAAGTATGATTTTTTAAAAAACAGCACAGTGATTATTCATGTCTGCTTCTTCCTACTCTTAACAGCAGCCACTAGGAAAATTCAAGAACTGAGTCAGTTGGCAAAGGAATTGGCAAGGTCTTTTTCCTTCTGCTCTGATTATTTGAAGCAGTATTTCTTCAACTTTTCTCTCTTAGCACCTCTTCCCATTTTTAAAAATTATGGAGAACTCTAAAAGAGCTTTTGTTTGCATGGGTTATATTCATAGATATTTACTACTTTAAAAATTAAAATGGATGTATTTGCTGCCACTGCTGCTTCTCACAAATGTTTGATGGGATTTTAACATTGTATTATTTCATTATTTCATTATTTCATTATTTCATTTCATGTCATGTGCTGAAGGAACTCACTACAGCCTTTCTTAGTTCTTTGTCTTGTAGGAACCCTTTTTCGCTTTTTCTTGCTTATGTACTCTTTTTCTTAAAATGAAAACATTTTGAATCATGATCAGTAGCTGAGATACAGCTAATGGGATATAGAGTTACTTAGCTTTGGTTATTTTCTCTCCCTGCTTCTTTCCTGGTTCTTGTGGTGTTACGTTATCTTGAGTGGTTGGCATGGTAATGTCTTCTTCCCTCCCTCCCATTATGAATTTCCAGAGATACCGTATGCATTTATTTCAGGCAAAATTGATGGTAGTATTAGCTCTTTTGAACACAATAGGTTGGCTTTCTATTTTAAAAGCACCCATGTTAGTTCTCCTGCTAACTGTCTTAAGTCTTTGAAATTGATAGTTCTTGGATGTAAGCCACTGTCACTGAGAGCAAAGTAACTTTTAAAATTATCAAGTAAAATATTGCATGTGGTTATAATTTAGATGAAACAGTGAAAGTGGCCTAAAATGCAATGAACCCAGCTTCCTTTAAGACTATTTAAAGATAAGTTATATTTTTCTGAGGGCTAAGAAAAGGCCTCAATCTAAAGAAATAGTTTGCAGCTGTTGTGAGCCACTCACTGATGCTACTTCCTGTTATATAGGTCCACAAATTTAACTTGTAACTTTTCTAGAATCATGTGTCATGTGCTTGTTTCTGAATTATTTTCATGATGGAGTTCTAAAATATGGAACTAGAAGTCCTCAGATTAACTTCTTTCTTAGTGAGCCATGATATTCTGATAACATAATGATATTGTGTTAAAATATGCTTCTATGGCATATATATTGGATTAGAATACAGCTACCATATCTGAGCTCTAAAAGTTTGAATAGCCATTTTATGGCAGCAGAATGATAGAAGACAGCTGCCGATTTGATGTTACCTTGATTTTTATAGCCCGCATCTGGTAACACATCTCCTTCAAAAATCTCAGACTTTTCCCCAAAATGCAACCTGTGAATTGTAATTTTTTATATCAAAGAATTTTATCAGTCATCCTAGTTTGAGGAAAGAATATTAATTTTGTCTGGGTTATTTCTTATAGCTTTTCTGACTAACTTAAGTAGTTTCTTCCAAACTAGTTTTTTTCTACTTCTGTCGCAGTAGTGATTGAAAACATTTTATAGTCTATGATTAAATGAAGTAATATAATCGGCCAATACTAGGAAAGTTTAATATATCCTTCTTTTATATAGAAAAAGTCTCTGCAAAATAGTTCCTTGCCAACTGTTTACAATTATACAATGAAAAGTTCATGCTACAATCCTCAGACAGTTGAAGTGCACTTTAACTATGCTTAAAATCACAGAATGGTTGTAGGAAAACTGGTACCTACCGGTCAGTGGTGGGTTGCCCCCGGTTCGCACCAGTTCTATAGAACCGATAGTAGAACCGGCGGGAGGATCCGCCCACCGACTCTGACGTCATTAAAGTGCTTTACATGCACAGAAGCTTTTGCGCTTGTGCAGAAGAGCACACGGCCCTACTGTGAACCAGTAGTAAAGGTAAGTAGAACCCTCCCCTGCTACTGGTATATTTATTTATTTATTTATTTATTGCGATTTATATGCCGCCTTTCTCCCTAGGGACTCAAGGCGGCTTACAAAATGACAACTTCAATACAAATCACAATACAATACCAAATTAAAATCAGTAACCTAATTAAAAAACGATTTAAAATTATACCAGTGTACCCCCAAACGGATCAGTTTAATTGGCGGAAGAGCCACGTCTTCAGCTCGTGACGGAAGGAAAGGAGGTCGGGGGCTGTCCTGAGCTCAGTGGGCAATCCATTCCAGAGGGTCGGGGCTCCCACAGAGAATGCCCTCCCCCTGGGGGTCGTCAGCCGACATTGTTTGGCCAATGGCCGATGCTTGATTTGACAATTCAGGCAGGTGTCGTGATTCTGGAGGGGAAGAAGTATCTAGTTTATAAATGTACAACATAAAATCCTGTTACAGAAATAAAAAAGATTTGGGACAATCGTGTAATACAATTAAGTATACTAAATTAGAGCATACATGTACCTGATTACAGTAGGAAACTGGTATTGTAATTTATGTTCTGAATTGTATTTTGCCAAATGTATTTCATTTAGTTTTTTTGAAAAATAAGAATTTTGTAATAAGGATAATTCATTTTATGTTCGCAAAATTTATTATTGCAGTACATTTGGTGATGTTGCTCATTAATAGTTTTTGGAGGCAACAACTGCTTCACAACAGTAGCCTTCTAGTGGGGAGAGATACTGAGATTTCCAATGTTCAGAAGAGTTTATCTGGTTTGATAAAATATTTAATGCACATAAAAATGAACAGTGGAGGCCTGGCACAATGTCTCTTTGCTTTGAGAAATATAATTTGGTTAAAATGGATTTTTTTCTTATAGATTTCTCATCCACATTTAAGCTAAAAAATCTTGGGGAATATGCATGGGAAAATATTTAATGCATAATTTTGATGCAAATATTAACACAGTTGTGGCTTAATACACAATAAGTGAAAGGAAGACAGAAATAGCATATCCAAGTATAAATCGAGGATAAAAGTATGCGCTAACTAGAGTCCTCACATGATTAGTAGATAATATGCCAGTTTTTCAAATGCAGAACAGATTTATTTATTTATTTATTATTTATTTATTTTATTGAATTTCTATACCGCCCTACTCCCGAAGGACTCAGGGCGGTGAACAGCCATAAAATAAAACACATACATATACAAAATTTAAAATTGAATAAAATGAATTAAATAAATTTGGCTGAATTAATACCCATAATTTAAAATACCCATATTTTAAAATACATTAAAATTTAAAATTTGCACTTAAAAGGGAGAAGATTTAGGCGAGGCCAGCTTGATGAAATAACAGAGTCTTCAGCTCGCGGCGGAAGGTGCGCAGATCTGGAATCCTCCGTATCTCTGGGGGGAACTCGTTCCAGATCGTCGGTGCCCCCACAGAGAAGGCTCTCCCCCTAGGGGCCGACAGCTGACATTGTTTGGCCGACGGCACCTGGAGGAGCCCCTCTCTGTGGGAGCGTACTGGTCGGTGGGAGGCTATTGATGATAGTAGGCGGTCCCGTAAGTAACCAGGTCCTAAGCCATGGAGCGCTTTAAAGGTGGTAACCAGAACCTTGAAGCGCACCCGGAAGACCACCGGGAGCCAGTGCAGCTCGCGCAGGAGAGGTGTTACATGGGAGCTCCACGCCGCTCCCATAACCACCTGCGCGGCCGCACTCTGCGCCAGTTGGAGCCTCTGGGTGCACCTCAAGGGGAGCCCCATGTAGAGAGTGTTACAATAGTCCAGATGAGAGGTGATGAGGGCATGAGTGACTGTGCGTAACAAGTCCCGATCTAGAAACGGATGCAACTGGCGAATCAGGTGAACCTGATGAAAAATCCTCCCGGTCACGGCCGTCAAGTGCTCTTCTAAAGACAGCCGTGAATCCAGGAGGACGCCCAAGTTACGAACCCTTTCCATGGGGGCCAATGATTCGCCCCCAATAGCCAGTGATGGCGCCAGCTGACTATATCGGATTCATCATGTACTATGTAGAAGATACCTGGATAGGGAAATGGGGATGTTTGTAACAGACAGGCATATCTCTTGAATGGGATGGAACATGTTAAAGTTACTTCCAAGGATGAAAAGGTTGCTATTCATTTGAGGGGCTCTGAAAGTTTCAGTGTTCTTAACAGGATAGCATTGTTCTTGAAAAAAACAGATCAGAAACCTGGGGAGGGGGACTTCCTAGACTGATGGATACTGTTAATTGAACAGGTGAAAACTGTGGCCTTTGCCTTGCTTCAGCTGATGAAATAGTTGTGGTCCTACCTGGGACAGAAATACTTTATGAGGTCACTCATGACCTCAACATTATTGCAGTTTTCTATATAAAGGGCTGACTCTGGAGGCTACTTAACATTTGGTCCAGAATGCAATGGCCCTAATGTTGGTTGGCAGCCATTACGCATGAACATATAATGTTGGTATTTAGCCCTGGTGTCTTCCTGTGGGTTTTCACATAGCATTTGAAGTGCTGGCATTAATCTGTAATGCTGTCTATGACTTGGCATCAAGGTACCTGTAAACTTCTTCTAACCAGAATTTATCTGATGTGTGATTCCTAAAAGAAACTATGGGTTGTTTATTGTGAAGTAATGGGAGACTGGTATTGAAGCTCATAGAAGCTGCTTTCTTGTGAATCAAAGAAGGACTTTCCAGCGGAATTAGTTTTACCTGAATGTGGCTTTCCAAAGCAATTAAAAATGGAGAGATTTTTGGCAATGCCATGGGTCTTTGTGTTTTTGTAACTTGTTGCTGATGATCTTTTACAGTATATTTTTATACTGTTTTTTAATGTTTATATACTAAACACCTGGTTTGAGTATAATATGGCATTGTACAATGGGTTGCATGATCATTAGTGGAACAGTTTAAAATATTATTGAAACGTGGTGTTTTAACACCTCTCTGCCTGATATGATTTTAGCATAAAATACTGTGTGATAAACAATCACTTGTAATTCTGATAACTTATAGTACTGGTGTTCAGTTTATTTTCTGATAAGAAATATTTTTGCCTTTCCTTTTGTATATCAAAATATGTTTCATGAGCACACTAGATAAATAAAACTTTAAAATTATATTAAGACAAATACTTAAGGCAGCTTATATTAGCCTTTATTGGCTCTAATTGGAGTAATTAATTTATTGTAATAAATAATAAAGCTTCACTTTAAATATTATTCTGAAATTAACTTGAAGCAAGTTGAACTATCAACTTCATGTTTTATATACAATCTTCAGCTGATATAAGGAGTTCCTTCAGAAAAATCTGATTGCTTTACTAATCCCCCAAATAATTCAAGTTCTTTGACTTAACGAGAACTGAAAAAGAAGTTGTACATGTGTGTTGAGGACAATGAAGTGTTCTACTTGGCTTTTTGGGGAGGAGGAAGGGGGAGTGGATGGAGAAAACATAGTTAGGTAAAGTACAGTATATACATTTTAGAGAGATAAATGTTAACACTACTGATGAATGTGAGCAATACAATACAACTACAGATCTGATTCTAAAAAGCAGGATAGCTTCTAGATGGTAGAAAATAGTGTCTGCAGCCTGCTAGTTCTAAGTTCATGGTACCATGAATGCAGTGCAAAATAAGGAATGGGGTTTGCTTATCTTAAAAACCTTCAAGACAGGAATTCTTCTGAAGTGTTGTTGTCACTGTGATGAAAGCAATAAAACAAAATATGTACTAATTAGAATAGGAAAAATTCAGAGGTCTGCAATATAATGCCTCTACAGTCAAATTTGTAGAACTTTGAGAATATAATTAAATCAGAGTTTCAATGCCGATAACATTTTTTCAGTTTTCCTGTATTTTATTTCATCTATGTTTGAGGCCTTACAGTTTCTGGTTTCTTCTGTTGATTATCAATATGTGCACTTTGCAAAAATTTTGAAGAACTCTCTTTGTAAGGTTTCTAAAAATGTTTCATGGGAACTTTTTATCATTTTCCAGTTCTGCAGATTGCTGCCAGCCTTTTAGTGTATATTCCTTTGCAGTATTTCAATGAACTGTGATTTTCAGCTTCTATTGCATTGTTAATGCAGTGTAGCAACTGATCAGAACTATTCAGGATTTTGGAGGATTGGTAGATAAAGTGAAATCGGATGCCAGGATGAGGCAAGAAGACATTGTGGAGTTTCTTGTTATAAGTCACATCAAGATAACCCAGAAAATTTATTGGAGGGAATGATAAACTTCCAATCTGGCCTCACAGCATGAGCAATTTAGTCTTCATATTTGTTTCTTCCATAGGGAAAAGAGGTGGATTACTCCTTCCAGGCATTTGGGAGCTAAAACTGGCAGCAAACCAATTGTCAGGCTTTGTAAAGTATAAGAAGACAATCTTCAGTATTTTTTTTTCTCCTTGTGAATAATCTTTATTTCAAATATTGGGATGAAGACATTAGAATGCTTGTCCCAAAGGTGCTTTTTCAAGAGGCAACTGGACTTCTGGTTTTTCTTTAAAGACATTTTGCTTCTCATTCTTTGGACAACCATGACCTGGATGACTGAGAATGTCCATAGACATTTAGCAATGCAAATTAAAATGCTTGTTTTGAGTTTTTCAAATCCTGAATGGTTTGAGATCACATTATTTACTGGACTGTCTGCAATGGCTATGAAATCTTCCTAGGCTTTGAAATAGTCTCAGACGCTTCCTTTGCTGATTTTTTACTCACCAGTTCAATTTTCTTCTGTGGAAGTATATACAGCTTTTTACTTGATATATTTGTTTATTTAAAATTTATTACGTCAAAGTACAGTATACTTTTATTGCCCTGAGCTAAGAAGAAGAAGTAAGGTGTTAGTTACCTCTGAATGGGGCAGAGTATCTTACATTTGCAGGTAAGAAAAGACGAAACTTTAAAACAAAGTGATTTGTATAAGATGCTATTTATTTATTTGAGTTACAGTATTTATATGACCAGCCATATTAGGGCAAATCTGTACAAAGTTAAAAGAAAGTGAAGCAATCCATATTTAACCCTTTAATCTAGGGTTTCAAATAACAGTTCCAACTTATAACAGAACAAACCTAGTGAGCAAATATCACACACCCTTCTGATTCAATCACCTGGGGAATCAGCCAGGTCTTTGGTGCCTTGTGAAAGGCTAGCAGGGCCAAGGCCATCCAGAGGGAATTCTACAGGCTAAGTATTGCCACAGAGAAGGCACATCTCCTGGGTCCAACAATAATGGTATGTAGCTTAATAATGGTATGACCCAAACATGCCCTCCCTGTTAGATCTTGCAGAGATGATGGCGGACAAGCGGCTCTATAAATAGTGGCAAAATTCACTGCTGTAAAGCTTTAATATGCTTGAGGATTAGTCTACTCCTTGTGGAGAGCTCTTTACCTGATGAATTCATCTGGGTTTGTTTTTTTTTTTGGTAATATTAAAGCTCTGTTCCTTTCTCTTTCCTTCCTTTCTTCTCCCATTACTACCTCTTTTTGCCTCAACGCCTTTCACTTTTGTTCCACCCTTTTGTTTCATTTCCTGTTCCATTTTCACTTCTTCATCATTTTGTTTCTTGCTTTCTTTTTTTCTCCCATTATTTTAGAAAAAAAGAAAAAGTATGGACGTGTATTTGTACACTTGTATAGTCCTGTGAATATGGAGTATGTGTATATCACTATCTATAAATGGGGTAGCCTTTTAATTAGTAATTAAATTACTAATTACTTAATTAGTTTCAATTAGTAGCAATTAATTCAATTGAGATTTTATTTGTTATGGTTGTGGCCCTGCTTTTTTTGAGTATATCTCTTCTGGCATGTATAAATGCCCACAGATAGACACAGTTATATATAAAAGAACAAATACCTTCAAATACTTAAAAGTCATTGGCCATATAAAAGATGATCTGATAAGGTATATTTTAGGAGGAAATCCTTTAACAAAGTTATGTTGGACCAGATATAGCAAAGGATATCCTCCTTTAATGAAGGAAAAATCTGGAAACGTGTTTGACATAGAGGAGTTCGGAATTAAAGTTTATGAATGTTTACAGAACAAGAACATGCTAGAATTTCATTGCTATTGGCAGCAACAAAGAAAAGTACAGTAAATGATGATTGGAACCTAAGATAAGACTGGGCTATAGGGAAACTGCAAACCAGATACTTTGAGAGTATACTATATTAAGCAAAACATCATGTTTAATTTTTTTTTGACAGATTCAAAAAGGAAATTATTGATTTGCTTGTCAAACATACTTTGTTCCCTGGAGATGATGAGTTGGATCTTTTATAGCCTTTGCTAAGGCTTTGAAAAGTTAGATATAGGAATAGTGTAGGATTGTTTTGTTTTCCTAATTCTATTTTTTCCACTTCTGTTAATTATTTTTTCTATTTTTGCCTAGTACCTCAACATTGGCCTTGTTATAGACCAGTGATGGCGAACCTTTTTGATACAGAGTGCCCAAACTGCATGCACATGACCAAACTGAAAGGTGTGCATGCAACCACATGCATGTGTGGGCATGCATGTGCGCATGCACAACCATGTGCAAGAGCATGCACAAACTTGCATGAACATGAGCAAACATGCGCATGCGTGTACATGAATGAACGTGCGCAAATGTGAACGTGTGCGAATGTGTGCATGGTTGGACATGCACGAGCACATGGTGGACATGTGTACATGCACAGCAGAGACCCAAAGACCAGTGGCTGGTGGGAGGCGGGGCATCCCAAGACCGGCAGCGCGGCAAGAGGTAAGATCTTTTTCTTTTGTGAGCTTCTGTTTCATTGTTCGCAGAGAAATCAAAGCTCATGAAAGAAACGCCATGGAGATATGACCTGGGGCGACGGAGCGCTTGCCAGCAGAGAGGGCTCTGCATGCCACCTCTGGCACGTGTGCCATAAGTTCGTCATCACGGTTATAGATGGTCTGCAAATTACTAGTTGGAAAATATATATTTTTAGCATCAAGGTTTTTATATTTTCAGAGTATCAAAAAAAAAAAAATTACAATCTTCCTTTCTTGTGCTTAAAGTATAACAATCATTATAAGGTAAACCATGTTTGTGAGAGAATTTACAACAAAATTGTAATTTTATGCAGTAATATACACAGAGGCACACACTTTCACATATGTCTATATATGTAAATATCATTTGGTTTTATTATGTATATATGTGAATGTATGTATCGTTTTTCTCCCATGACAACTGCAAACTATTGTATATTGAAGAGTAAATGTTTAATTACTTTCTATGAAGTATGGCAATGACTATATTTATATATTGATGGCTTGCTTTAGTTTTCCATGGTATTAAATGGTATCAGATATTAAGTTTGTATAGTGTATAGTACTTACAGAAAGGAGACAAAATTATTGATGTTTTACATCTTCCATATTGCATTTGTTTGACAGTTGACATATTGCATTTGTTTGACAGTTCTATTGACAATTATGTATTTTTTGTCTCCTGGAGGGATATTTTTCTCCATGCTAGGATTTTTGATTTTTTCCAGTGCTTAAATGTCTTACAAGAGAAAATATTTTGGTATACTATTTTTTTTTTTAAAAAAGTTGAGTAGTGAAAACAGACATCTGTTAACTGCTCTTTGCCCATTAAGATCCCAGAAGTTGCAGATGCTGCTCTGAGAAGACTTCCAAGGGGCTGATGAGGAACATGTGCCAAAGAGAACTAAAGCTAAAATGGACTCTTTCAACAAAAAAAAAATACCTTCATTGTCAACATTCCCAGAGGCAAAGATAGCAGAGTTTCAGCTTAAAAATTTAAGTGTGTTCAGAGTTTCCCAGAGGAAAAGTGAAGATTGACTGATGAATTTGTTTTTGTGACATTCTGAAACATTGACCTGAAGATTATTTTAGTTCTGTTCTTTGTCTTATTGAAAACAGGATATGTTTTGGAAGTATTTCTACCTTTCTAGTGAATGTTCTTAAGATCATTTTTATGAAATGTATTGTGGGAACAGGGTTCCTAAAGTAAGCGCTGAACAAAATAGCTCCTCTAACTTTGGTGAAATCCAATTTTTTTTACTACTGGTTCTGTGGGCGTGGCTTAGTGAGCATGGCTTGGTGGGCATGGCAGAGGAAGGATATTGCAAAATCTCCATTCCCACCCCACTCTGGGGCCAGCCAGAGGTGGTATTTGCCGGTTCTCTGAAGTACTCAAAATTTCTGCTACCGGCTCTCCAGAACCTGTCAGAACCTGCTGGATTTCACCCCTGCTCTAACCTACCTCTTCATTTTCCCCTTTCAGCCTCCATCCTAGCCCAAATAGACCTATCTCTATGATGGAGATATACTTGCACATCTTTAATTTTTAATTTTTTTAAAATATAATTTTTATTAAGAATGTTAATTACAATTTTAAAAAACTAATACAAACTAAACTAAGAAAGAATAGAAAAAAAAGAATAAAAAATAGAGAGAGGATGGGAGATCTGCTGTATGTACTCCGGATGGCTGCTTCTGATGAGGAGATTGCAGGACAGTTGTGTTCCACGAGTTTGAGCACTGGGAGGCAACAAGATCATCTTGTTTGCAGACACTTTTAAAAGACACAAAGTTTGCATTAGATTTACTTTCTAAGCACTTTCAGAAATTGTTTATTCTAAATCTATAGAGACTTTCAGAACAAGAGGTTTGAAAAATCTTCATTGGTTTATCTTCAATCCTAAACAAAAGAAAAATTAATTACAAGCTTAAGAAGTTAAGGCATTTGAAATAAAAATCAAAAAGCTAAATAAGATTTTGATCTAAAAAAGTTACAAATAAATTAATGGTTCTAATAAATTTGAATATTTACTTTTACTGTAAGTTTTTGGAATTAACTAGAAAAATAAACAATTTCCAATGGGAAACAGACTTATTTTTGTTACCTTGGCACCTACAAGTCATAACAAAAGATAAGTGATGATTTTCGAAATTGTACACTGGAGGAGACTAAAGATCTTAAGTAGGGAAAAAAATACAAGCATGATGTCAATTAGTACTGGGACTTACATAATGATAAAAATGTTATAAAATTGCAAATATTAAAGGTCTTTGAAGAATGAAGCCAGAAATTAGTAACTACAATATCAACACTGTCATAAATGATGGATAGATCATGTGTAAAAGGTGTTAATAAAGGAATGACAGATGTGGAACAATTTTTATTTAATAAACTATAGAATACGTAACTTCAAATGACGGACCAAGATAATGATTTGGAAAAAGACATTGCTGAATAGGCAAAAGAAACTGGCTGAAGTTTGAAGAATTAAAAGGGAAACACAAATGATAAACCAAGAGAATGACCTGGAAAATGTTTTTTTTGTTGGATCTACAAAAGAAGCTTGTTAAAATCTTGAAGAAATCTATAGGAGGGTATAAAGAACAATTGAAGAGAAATTAAATCCTATGAACAATTTTTGATTGAATTAAACATTAAGATTCTTAGAAGTAAAAGAACTGACTATAAAGGCGGAGGCCAATTAGTACCTGCTGCCTTAAAACTTTTTGAGGCCAAAACATTGGTGCAAATTCTTTATGGGGCACAAACAGGAATCCTTGCAAAGAAAAACTTGCTAGAAACTATACAAACCAAATTCCTGCGAGCCATCTTAGCTGCACCCAAAGGAACTCCAAATGTCCTGCTAAGAATTGAGACGGGTATGCCTCAAATTCAGGTAAGAGCCTGGAAGATGATGATCAGCTATTGGCTGAAAATTCATTACTTTCCAGAGGGACTGTCCCCGCTAGTGCTGACTGACAACTTCCCCTCCCCCTGGAAATAGGGGATAGATCACAAGCTGGGCTCTTATGGGCTCTCATCAGTATTCTTAATGTCCCTTGGCTTTGACAAAGCAAAGTAAGTGGTAATTGATAGAATGAAGGACATGGAATTCCAAGAAGAACTAAATAGGTTGTCTCTCCACAGTAGGGACAGAATCAAGCAGGGTGTGTGGGAATCAGCAGGATATCTAAATGATCTGATCTTCCCAAAACAAAGAATAGCTTTCTTCAGAGCCAGATTTAGTATTCTCCCCATAGCACTTCTCCAGGGTAGGTACAAGAGAACACCAATAGCAGAACGGGTATGCATATGTGGAAAGGGAGAAGTCGAAGATGTCTCACATGTGTTATTGTACTGTGAGTTATACAGAGTATGTAGGTCAATATACATTCTCCCCTTACTAGAGAGATTGCCAGGGAGGACAGACGACTTTTATGTAGGCTTTCTCCTCCAAGACTCAAATCCGGCTATCACGCATGCAGTGGCAAAATTCTGTGTCGCTGCAATGTCCACAAGAAAAAAATTGGTTACCGAATTATGTCAACTGGTGCCAATTTTTTTTGGAGATATCTATAACAATACATTTACACACATACTTATCGGCTCTACACGCATGTAAATTAGGTTTAAGATCAGGTATTTTCATAACAGATGTTATTTACGATTAAAGTTATTATCATTTTTAATTTATTGTATGTCTATTGCTGGTCGATGACTGTAATAAAATTTTATTCAGACATTGCTGAATAGGCAAAAGAAACTGGCTGAAGTTTGAAGAATTAAAAGGGAAACACAAATGATAAACCAAGAGAATGATCTGGAAAATGTTTTTTTTTTTTGTTGGATCTACAAAAGAAGCTTGTTAAAGTCTTGAAGAAATCTATAGGAGGGTATAAAGAACAATTGAAGATAAATTAAATCCTATAAACAATTTTTGATTGAATTGAACATTAAGATTCTTAGAAGTAAAAGAACTGAATATAAAGTTGGTTTATTTGATCAAGATTTTAAAAAGACTTTTTTTTTTGGCAATAGCAGTTTTTAATGGCTTTTTACTGATAATAAAGTTGATGTTTTATGGATTTGATAAAACTTACAGATAAGAGATGGAATATGAGATGAAGAAACATCTGTTTAATATTATATGAAGTGAAGAGTTATTAAATTTGTTTATACTTGTTGTACTGAACGTTAGAAGTAATTTCTTTATATATTTTTTCCTTTATTGTTATACTCTTTCTTTTTTCTTTGTTCTACACTTTTAATTCTAATTTTCCTATTTGTAATGTTTTCATTATATAAATAATCTTGTTTACCATAGCAGTTTAGAAAATCGGTCCTAGCTTTGGGCAGTTGTCTGTGCTGCCGTTCTTTCTTTGTTTCCTGACTCACCGCTGTTCCCTGGGCCTCTGGTGCTCACTTCGGCCAGGATTAAGTTGGTCAGGAAGACTTCACGGCAACTATGGCATTTAAAGATACTGGGAAGGCACCTGTGGAACAAGAAGTAGCAATTCATCGAATCAGAATTACTTTGACAAGTCACAATGTGAAGTCTCTTGAAAAGGTTTGTGTAGATCTCATCAGAGGTGCTAAAGAAAAAAATCTAAAAGTGAAAGGGCCTGTTCGCATGCTTATTAAGACTCTGCAAATCACTACAAGAAAAACACCATGTGGTGAAGGTTCCAAAACTTGGGATCGTTTCCAAATGCATATACATAAGCGCCTCATTGATTTACACAGTCCTTCAGAGATTGTCAAACAGATAACTTCTATCAGCATTGAACCTGGAGTTGAAGTTGAAGTTACTATTGCTGATGCTTAAATGATTGTTACATGTATCAATAAAAGCTGTTAAGTTTTTATCATTAAAAAAAAAATCGGTCCTAGTATATGTTCATTTTTTTCTTTGATATAATATTTTTCCTAAGGTGAGATTAACTCTGACCCTATTATCCTTCTGGAACTTCCTTAAACCTGTTTTTTTTTTTTTTTAAGTAGGCTTGGGGACCCTATGGTAATGAAGAGATGGTTTTCTGTCCTCTGTGGGCATCATTTGCAAAAAAGAAAATAAACATAATTTTAAAAAAATCTTCTTTTACCTACAAGGGATACATTGAAATCTTGAAATGAAGATTGTTATCCTAAGAGCAATGCAGCAGCACATCAACTGCAAATTCTCAGTGGCAGCATTTGGACTGATAATGGCCCTGTTACAAAATATATTGCAATCTTTTTTTCCAAAAAGCTGAGAGAATAATGAAATATGATAAATATTTTTTCTCATTTACCACAATAAAATTAACAAACTCTTTACAGTAAATTTTACTTAAATTTGAGTAGCAAACCAGTTAGCTACTATCCTCAGATTAACATATTTGTCAGCAACTTCTATAAAAGCTTATAAATTCCAATTGACATCATGTATTCTGGACATTATCTTGGAGCGTCAAAGGAGCTGAGCCCAAGGGGAAAGTTCACCCCCCAGTTGAAGATTGTCCCACACCTGCATCTCAGAAGTACATAAAGTACTGCATTTGGCACCAAGGGGATAATTCTTAAAAATATGAACTGGATCCTCTGTGTTAATTTATAATTCTTGCAATACATAAATAAACAGTTAAAGCCATACTATGTTGCCTTTGAATGAAACATTTTTATTCTAGGAGTGCATGCTTGTCTCTAGCTATATGAAAAAAATGAATAATGACCACTGAATTTAGCTGCATCCAAATTTATAATATTATTTGTGCAAGAAAATCTGGAAATGTCAGGAAAAGATGGAGTACAGATAAATGATGTTAAAAAGTTCAAAGAAAGAATATAATTTTAATGTTGGAGATAAACAGTTTATGAAAAAGAGTCTCTGCCAGTTTCATATTATAAAGTTTATATAACTATAATTCTCAAAGCTGATAATGGCCCAATGAACTGGTATATTTATTAAATATGGACACTAAGATTCTAACAGCTATTTTAAGAAGACCACAGAAGACATTACCCAAAACATGTCATACAGCAAAATCTAATTTTATGAAAGCCATTAGTCATCAGATGATGTTGAACTGTATAATTGCACTGTATG